TAATATCTGAAATCCTTATATAGATCAATATATTTGATAGCAATATAATAAAAATGAAGTTTGCCTCTCCTATCCCTTTAAATCCTCATCCTATAGATTCCCAGATTTTTCTTGAAATGTAGCTGCTGAAGTTAGGCAATCTTACCTTATTTATGACATCAGCAATTTTCCTGTGTGCATTTCTATGAAATTATTTGGCTTTTACCTACTTTTATATTTGCTTTAATTTTAATTCTGTAATCCCATAATTACGATTTCCGTATGTTTTATATCACTGTAGCATAAAGATTTGCAATGTTAATTCTGTATTGAAGTTCTTTCATTGTTGCTCTGGATGATCAAAGTGAAATTTTGTCCCCCTTACCATGAAAATTCAGCCTCTTTGGGATGGTTTTCTTAGCTGTAGCCTCTTCTGACTTCTCTTTGGTGGTCCAAATGGTGTTATTTCAATCGTGTTTTCATTGTCTGTTGCTCAGTGACACAACTTGGAGACTCTCTCTGTGTGCTGCACAGACTGTTTCTAGGTGTAGCCTGCTACGTTCAAATTTCTCCACACCAAATCATACAAAGTGGAACTGTGGATCATCTCACACTTGCCACTCTCAGGAACAGCATGTGTGCATTACTTAGGGTAAAGTTAAGATTTCCAGCATTTGAATTGTGTGGCTCAGTATATAAATCAACAAACATACTTGCCTTTTTCAGTTTCCAGATATAAGGAATTACGGCAAGTTAATCTTTACATTTCTGTTGATATTAGGGTCAAATTCTAATCACCACTCTAAGTAAAAGGGCACATGCTTACAAAGTGAAATAAGATACTTGAGGATCAATAGGATTTGTCTGCCAAACTGATCTCTTGAAGAGGAAACAGAACTTCTCTGTATTTGAAAACAAACAGATGAGTGGGTGAGCGAGGGAATCTGGCACTTTTTTAGGCAGTGCTTCTACACGTTTGTGGCTTTGCCAGAGATTTTTTATACTGGGCTTTATATTGGACATCAGTGGTAGCAGTCACCCAAGAGCACTTTGGTACTTTTTGTCATTGCTAACAGGAGTGGGAAGTACCTGTGTGAGACTCCTGGGTGCTGTGTGATGGGGTAGCCCCAAAGCATGCAGAACACCTGTAGCTTCCACCAGCCTCTGCCAGTGGCAAATAGTTGGGGAAGTGGTTTTCCTTCCAGAACTGCCATGGGAACCAGGCAGGAGAGGCACTGACAGGTCTTAAACTCTTCAGTCTTGTTGAGAAGAGGCAATCTTACTAGTAGTAGAAGTTGGTGAGATTCCCAACCATGTTGTGTTACAAATGAAGTTAGTCAGAATTTTCCTCTAACTCTGAAGTTACATTTTCCTGCTTTGCAACTTGCATGTTGTTTGTTACCAATGTTTAGCATTTCAGGCTGCAGTAGAAATGACATGCTAGTAGCTTAACGTTCATAAATAATTCTGTAATAGCAAGCTATGGTATCGTTATGGTAGAGAGGAGAAATTTAAATGTAGTATCCCATCCTAGTATTCGAGTTCTGGCTAGAGCTCATTAGCTATATTGCAAGAGAAGAGAAAACATACAGATCTTCTGACAGAGATGTGAAATACAGGTGATGTTTCTTAATAGACACATGAAGGTTGGCTCCTGTTTTAGACAAACCCTGTCTGTGTGTCCCATAAACCCTTTGAGTTCTGAGGGAAGTTTTTTAATCAATTTGAAATCACAGGAAAGTTGGTGGGTTGGGCTGATTTCTTCAGGAGTTCTCAAGCTTATTCAAACTCATAGGCTCACAAGTCAATGTGAATTAAAATCCTGCCCTGAAGGCCTTAAATGGCAACTTCGCTTAGAAATTAAATTGCCAGGCTTCACTGTTACACTTCTAAACCAATTCACTGCTGCTTAGAAGAAGGCTTGACTGAGCTCATGGTGCTGGCTTTTTCATCATTAACCTTACATCCTGAAAATGCAGTGGGCTTGATACTGCAATAACTGAGGGAATTATTGAGAAGAGGGAAATTAGAACTGTGTCAGCAGAAAATGTACTGGTAGGAAGAAAAAAAATATCCATCTGACTTTCAGGATAGAGATGCGGCAAAGGAAATTTTCCCTTTGTTAAGGAGACCACTTGGAGATTTGAGAGCAATTGGGTGGTTACAGGTAGATTAGCAACATGAGGGGGAGCTCTCACTGCATCACCCAAAGAGGAGGGAAATTTGGCCTTGGTAGCAAACCTTTAAATGGCGAGTACTGCATTCCTGCTGCTCCCTGTCAATAAAATATTGGTGGCTAGTCTTCGTATAGGCAAGACCAACGGGGAATATGCATGTCTGCAAAAAGAAAGGCAATCCATGTCCTGTTCCTATCTTTTCTGCTATTGCTTGCTTATTTTTTTGGTCACAGGCATACTGTACACCTGGGCCATGGCAGGTGTAATTCCTTTTCCCCATCCTTACCATCAACTTCAAATACCGGTGTCCTGTTCCTTAGGTGTTCCCTCAGATGTCAGCTTTAGAAAGGAGGGAGAGAGAGTGAAAATATACGTGGGACATTACTTTTATGGTTAAAGCAAAAATTGGTGCAGATGAGAATGGGGAATTCATTTCTGTTGCAAATAGGATGAACAAGATGGAGAGATTTGTAAAACTGTTATTTAACTGGTATTTAAAGGCTGGTTACAACTAGGAGAAATCGGTGAATTTTTTTTAAAGGGTTTTGAGTAAAAGGGACTTACTGTGAGAAACTGTTGCTCATATTCTGTATAACATTTAAAATTTACTTTATCAATGTTAATAAATTGAGGTACATGGCAAGGAACAGAAAAGGTTGGGCATTTAGTAAGCTGAAGGTTTCTCTAAAGAGAAACCCAGTTTCTCTTGTGACCATTTACTCTTAAATATCTCCCAAACTAAATTTTTGATGACTTTCTGAGTGAAGGGAAACACAATTATTCCTCCTTATTTATGAATGGGGAGCAGAGACCCAAACAGAGTAGGGTTTGAAGCGGGGAAGAGGGGTTGTTTTAACAGTCAGTTGTAAGCAAACATACGGATGTGAGTGGTAGGATGCAGGCTAGCTCTCGTTCAGAAGCTGTGCAGTGATGTCAACTCTAGGCCGTGTCCCAGAGGATGTGCCCTGCTCTTGGTGTATCGGTGTACTTGGAAAGTGCCAGTAAGATGGTTATTTTGGCTTGCAGTGCAGAGCTTGCTTGCATCTGGGATGAGTAGACAAATCTCTCATCTGAGTGTGCCCAACTGTACAGACATGCCTCAAGTTGGTTTTCAATGTGCACAGGGGAAAAAAGAATGTGTTCAGTTCTCCTTTAACCTGCATAAGTGCTGGTTCAACTGATTAGCATCTATCTTCCCTATTTGAATGCGCATTTTATTGGCCTTTATGTGCATATTATTATTAATCTTGCTATGTCTGTGATGTTAACTTGTTTAATGTCAGAATAATTTTAGGTAAGTGCTTTGTTTTGAACAGGAAAAACGCTAGCCCTCTTCTGCTTGAATTACTAATCTAAGGTAACTAGGTGGTTTTATTGTGGGCTCTTAAAACAGGTGTGTTTTTTTCTAAAGGGTTTTGGGTAAAAAGAACTTACTGTGAGAAACTGTTGCTCATATTCTGTATAACATTAAAAAAAAATCTTTGCTTTCAGAGTGTATGTTGGTATCTCTAAGTTCATGATATATTTAGCTGGGTTTTTCCTCCATAAATTCATTGGATCAAAACAATAATATAAATCTAAGTTTTTATTCATCAACTTCAACTTTTGCAATTTGCTGGACTTAAATAGGGAATCTGGGAATAATACATGATCGTAGGTGCAGTACATATCATGCAGGCTTATTTTCCAGGATGTCAGTGGAGGGTTATATTAAATCCTTTTGGTTTGCTGTAGTATGATTACAAAGATTCTTTTGTAGCTTGGGACACTGGCAAAAGAAGATAACATGAATTTCATTCTGGCATTGCTGTTGTTCTTAAATACATTCTGACTGGCCAGTAAGAGCTGCAAGAAAAGTCTTGGTCCTGTCTGTATGACTTTGAATACCTATCAGAAAGAAGAGCAATCCAGGGTCACAGTGCTTTAAACACTGTCAGTTAGGTCTCAGGAGAGACTGGATGTGTTGCAGTTACCAAAGAGGAGGAAATGTAACTGAGACCAACACCTTCCTTCCTTCCTTCCTTCCTTCCTTCCTTCCTTCCTTCCTTCCTCCCTCCCTCCCTCCCTCCCTCCCTCCCTCTTTTCTCTTCCCCCCCCCCCTTCTGCTAAACTAAGTTCAGTTTAGGATGGTCTTTAAAACTTCAACATTAACAGAGAGTGACAAGCAAATAATAAGCAAGAGGTGTCTATTAAGAAGAAAAAACCACAAATACTAGTTCTGTATGTCTGATATTCCTTCTCAAACTGTTGTAGAGATGAGGGCTTTAGCCTACATTCATGTATTAGTCATTTCAGCTATTCAGGAATGAATTGTGTATCGACAGTACAAATTTTATTCTATTTTAGATAGGGGTCACTGCAGGATTGGGCTGAGATTTAAAGTAATTGGAAGGAACTACTTTGAGTAGCTACACACCTGATTGGCTTTTGGACGGCACACCCATCGTAGCTGTACAAAGACATGAGTATCCACTAATTTCTGAGCCCGTTAAATCCTTACTTTATACCACAGAGTTCATAATAGCAGGATATACAGACTACACCAATAATTAAATATTTTCAATATCTGAATATATATGGTGTATATTTGTATTGTTGCAGTTTTAGCTGGTTTAATTACACTGACTGAAAGGTGACAGGCTTGTCACGATCTTGTCTTCAAAGAAAGACTTAATAAAAAGTATTTTCCTGGTCACTCAGTCCAGGGTGATGCCAAATCCATGCATCTCAGGGGGATGTTAAGTGTCTGCACTGGAGGGTCATGTAGAGACCAGGCATACTTCATGCTAAGAAGTTATTTTACACATATTTGGTAATAATACTGTTGTTCGTGGTTCCATACAGATGGTACCAGGCAGGAAGAAGTGGAAGGTGAACTCAGTGAAGAAGAACACTGGTTTGGAAATTCTTCAGAAACTCCCTCAGAGGCATCATATGGAGAAGTCCAGGAGAACTTTAAGTTGTCTCTTGAGGACAGGATCCAAGAGCAGTCCACTTCCCCAGATACTTCTTTGGGAAGTGCAACTCCTAGCAGCAACACAGCGGAGCTGGGATCCATTGAAAATGAGGCACTAAGAGACACACTACAGAGCAAAGAGCACCTTTCTCCTGATGTGTCATCTCTCTGTGAAGAAGAACCTCCTGGTCCAAATAAGCCACTGAGTAGTAACCTGAGGCGGCTGCTGGAGGCTGGCTCCCTCAAGCTGGATGCTGCTGTTACTGTCAATGGCAGAGTTGAGTCCCCTGTAAATCTTGGCTCAAACCTTTCCTTCTCTCCACCTGCTCATCATGCCCAGCAGCTAAGTGTTCTTGCCAGAAAGCTTGCTGAGAAACAGGAACAAAGTGACCAATACAATGCAAGTAGTCACTTTATATGGAATCAAGGTAAGTGGTTGCCAAATTCAGCCACCACCTGTGGTTTGTCCCCTGATTCAGCTATCCTGAAACTGAAAGCTGCAGCCAATGCTGTTCTGCAGGACAAATCTCTTTCAAGGACTGATGACACTATAAGATTTGAATCCTTTTCCTCACCTTTTAGTTCTCAGTCAGCCAGCTCCACGTTAGCAGCTTTGTCTAAGAAAGTGAGTGAAAGAAGCATGACTCCCGGGCAGGAGCACCCGCCTCCAGCTAGTTCTTTCCTTTCTCTGGCTTCCATGACCTCTTCTGCTGCCCTTCTCAAGGAGGTTGCTGCAAGGGCTGCAGGCACCCTGTTGGCTGAGAAGAAGAAATCACTGGTTGCTGAGGATCCCCTGCAGCTTTCAGAGATGAAGCAAGAGAAAGCAACTCCACCACAGTCTTTGGAATTATTGTTACTGCCAGTCCCTAAGGGAAGAGCATCCAAACCCAGTACTACAGGTAGGAATATAGTTTGAACCACTACACAGAATGTATCTGTTTTCCTATAGGCTTCTATAATATATATCCAGTGGGCCTGCATTTGGTTTGATTCCATGTATTATGAGAATAAGAAATAGGTACTTTAGGTAAACAATAGAAAAGCTTTTTAAAATACCACTTGAAGACCAAACTGTCAGAAATGTTTCCATATCTGAAAGATATAAGTGTATAGCTCAGTACTTTTTTTTTTTATTTTATTCCATACAATGGTGTTTTCCTCTCTTACCAAGTTCAGAGTAAGCCCACAAAAAATATTTAATGGAGAAGATCAAATAATCAATGTAAGAGAGCTCCTGGTAACAGTGGGCATGTACAAAACTAGTGCTTTTGAAATACTGGGCAAGGGAGAATTCTCCCTCCTGCTGTCTTTGTCACAAATAGACTTTTGTATAATCACTTACTACCCTGTCCTAATTTACCAGAGTATATTATATTATGTTACCCCTTTTAATTAAATTTTTTTTTGCAGCAGTTCTGTATTTTACAGTCCTTTGCCTTTTTGTTATTGTTGTTGTGGGTTTTTTTTAAGTTAAACCGCATTTTCAAATTTCTTCAACAAGAATCATTTTTACACTTCTGACTTCTCTTCACCAATTCCAGCTGTTGGCAATCAAGGTATAAGGCTTGCAGGGAATAAGAAGAAACAGTTTTGGTAACAAAAGCTTTCAAGAACTGGCTAGCCATGCAGGGAAATTTCAATGATCCACCTTCAAAATAAGGAAAGATAAGATTTCTTTCAACTCTTTCTATGAAAAGTTCACAGCATGGGTTTGTATTTCAGGTAGAACATTCAGCTTCAGGTGTTGTCAAGTGTTCTCCCTAGAGTGGCATTCTGCTGCACAGGGAAAGGAAGCATGTCACCTATTTTCACATGATGCACAAAGTGGTTCGGTATATTAGAGCTTTATCAGACAGTTTTATCAGGAATACTAGCTTGACTGCACAAGTGTAGCAAGCCAGCATATAGACATGAAACCTGACATGGATGTTGCAACATTGCAATACCATCTTTCTGGCTTAACATTTTTGTTTAGGGATGTTATAATCTCTGATCTGTTCCTGTGCAGCTCTTGGTAAAAACTTGCAGCATAGAATCTACTGAATAGACAGAAATTCTTAATCCTGCCTTGGAAGAGGAGAGGTAGGGACGTGATGAGGTGCAGCTGGTACCAGTGTTTTGCTCTGAGTTACATGTGTCCTACAAATGCTTTGCTGGTGTGTTTTGCTAAGACAGTTGAAGGGGCAACCTATTCCTGGCTTGGATCTGGCTCGAGGTTTTCATTAGTTTAGATGAAGTGCTTTTTTGGAGTAACATAACCTAAATGAAGAAAAAGGTCCTTTCATGTGGGAATAGAACTATCCACACTGGCTACACTAGTGTAACTGTGCATATTAATTTAATGTAACTTTCCCCATGAAGACTGGCCTTCATATAAGAAAAATGCAATGTATAGGAAAGAAGTAAGGTTAAAATTTATCTGAAGTTATTAGTTTATTTCCTGTGGGAGAAAAAAATGTTCACATTGTAAGTTTTTGCTGTGAAAAAGTAAATAGTTGTAGTAAAATCCAGGTTCTGTGTTTGACAGACAGACTGTGAGATTTCTCTGTACAGCTTATGCAAGGGGAGTGCTCTGTACCAGATTGCAAGTGTGCTGGTAGTACTGGTGCCTTATACACTAGCTTTGATGCAGCAAATTCCTAGCAAATATTCTCTTTGCTGAAGACCCAAGCATACTGTGCTGCTAAAACATAACAATGGGGGCTGACTGCCTCAGGTCCTTAGTAAACAAGGAATAACTATTCATTTTTTATAATATATGATACTAGTACCCCAAGAGGAAGGGTGTTTTCTTTCAATTCATGCACACTGAGCCAATGCCAGTTGGCATCCAAGCAAACTTTATAGTGTAATGTTCATAACAAAAGTTCTTCAAATCCATTTTCTGATATGCTACTAAGTTTTTCCTTTCTAAATAATTAAATGACTGAAACTAAAAAGCAAGCTGTTGGTTAGCATATCTGGATTTTTATTATGGAAAGATAGACTCCTTGGTCCCTTCAGCTGTGGAGAAGTGCAGCTTGCAAAAAAGAGGTCACTGTTCAGTGACCTTTGATCGAAGATTTCACTTCTGTACGTGTTGAGTAGAGCAGCTGTGTGTATTTGCCATGGAAGTGAGTGTCACGTGTTCCTGATTTCTTTTGCATCTACAGCCTTACGGTACTCAAAGCAAAAATAGTTTTTCATTTTATGTTTTCTCGTTTTGTGTCTGTGTGATTGCTTCTTGAGCCGTTGTTTTTGTCTTGTTCTGTGAATGAGACACCTATTCCCAGTAGGTGTAGCTTGAGAGGTGTGTGTGTGGGGGGTCCCCTCTCACACTTTAAAGTCACTGGTGAGTTTGCTTTGTTGTTATGAATCTGATTCACTTACCCCCCAGCAACATCTAGCTTTGGTTATGAGATACTCAGGTTAATTATATGTGGACAAGTAAAGAACAGCAAAGGTGGAGGCTATTTGAAGAGGAGTAAGTTAATTACAGGAGTATGACTGCTGCTCTTCTGTCCACCATGTTGCTCAGAATATTTGCTCAGCCTCTGAAACTGCACGTCAGGTTTGGTGGACCTAATCATTACTTGCATAGGCTATAGTAAAGTGGTCCAGAGCAGACTGACTTTTATATCAATCTGTTAATATTGTCAATTTATAAAATGCTCACGTGCTTGGGATGAAATTTAAGAGGTAGCCTGGAACCTCTGTTAAAGTTCTGATAAAATTCTTTAAAAAGTGTCCGTGGCAGACCCTTCTTTTACTGACTGAATGCTGGTTTGGTGTAACTTTTTGCCTGTGATGCTTGCAGTTTTGTTCCTGAAGCTTCTTTGGGAAGCACTGGCTGATTCTGTCCTCACTGGAGTAATTTCTTTCCAGCTAATTGACACCATGTGACATAAAATAGACATCAGTATAGATGAAGAAAAGCTGAAGTCCATGATTTTCTTTCTTAGTGCTGAGGTCTGTAGTATAGTAAAGAGCTAACATGGTTGAGCTTTGGAGAAGATTGACATAATTCCTGCGTACTGTTGTCATTGTTACTGGTGAAGTGACATGCATTCAGTCAAATTCTTCGCATATTTTGTAATGTGTGAAATTACTGTTGATCCATCTTGTTTGCAGTTTTATTTTTGTTGAGGTGGAAAACAGGTAATAGCGTGTTACACATTTCTTTTCTGCATCCTTTGTGATGATAGCCAGAGGCAGGAGAAAAGATATGATAGAAAGAAAAGAAATGAAGGTACTACTAAAGCATTTTTTTTTCTGTGGTTTGTCTTTCTCCTGCCTTGTGTGAAGAATTAAATAAAGATACTTAAAAACTGAAGCAAAAGCAATTTTAGCATTGATGTTGGTGTACTCTTTAGACATGTAGAGAGTGGAACAATTTGATAATATATTGAATGTGATAGAATATTTCATGACAAGAACTTCTGAAATTGCAAAAGTGTGCTTTGACAGTGTGTCCTTTTTTGTGCTTACATAATGATTACCTAATCAGTTGGATTACAGTGTTTTTGTTTCCTACCTAATAGCAAGAATTAGATTTTAGGATGTGACAAATCTTTCTGGAGGTTTTTATCACTTAGTTCCTCATCAAGGGAATTTGATGTTTGCTATATCCTTATCAGTAGGAAATAACTGATAATAATGAGATTAAATATTCTGAGAGAATTTCTAAATAGCAGGATGCACATTGCTGTGTTCTGTATCTTTGGAAATAGTCTTTCACAGTAAAAGGCTTCTAATTTCACGGTAACACTAGGCTTTTCTTGACAATAAGCAGAAGAAAGTGTGGTGAGAGAATGAATAGCTGGTTAGCTGTGTAAAGTCAGCAGCAAGGGTTTCTCTTTCCTTCAACCTTGCAACGGTTCCACATTAAATGACATTAACCACATTTGCCTGATAAATGCCTCCAAATCCTTTTTGTAGTTTAGGTAAATGGGGCAGTAAAGCAGAGTGCAAACATTCTAGGAAGGCAGTAGGTTTAAAGCCCTGGCAACTAGAGGAGCAGAAGAAAACCCATGACCTGAAGACCCTGATGACTGAAGTTGCAACAGTATCTGCTTCAGCCATAACTAAAGGATTTCAGCAGCAGGGGTTCTGAAGTCATTCACTTCTGTAGTTCAGTATATCTGATATGCAATACCAGCATGCTTTTCAGTTAAGTTGTGGATTGTTCTATGCTTTATATCCTGCTCCCCTGCTGGCTAACCATCAGATATGGAAATGGATCATTTTTTGACAGTTAAGCATATTTTCCATACCCTGCTATAACCGGCCTCTGCTAGGAAATGAAGCTGCAAAGTGATGATTATGAGAGACATCCATCTCAGTTTAGTTAAATTATAAGGACCATTAGGACCAGGTGAGATAGAGTAGCATCCCCTCCTGATTAGCCAAAGGATGTTTTGAACATTAACCTTTACAAATTATGGTGACCTTTCTTAGAGGGAGAATAACTAGATTAAGGGGAAAAGGGATATGTGGAGGGGACACATGGGCACACACACACATGCTGAAATTTCAGGTACATGTTGTTTAACAGATGTGTCTCTGCAGATGAAATTCTAGCATTGAAAAATGGTATCTTGATTATGTTTACAAGGGGAAAGTATTTGACAAGTGGCTCTAAAGGATCCTCTCTTTTTCTTCCCCCTTCTGCTAAGCCTCAGAAGAAGAAGGAGGAAAACCTTTCCAGTGTCCTATCTGTGGTTTGGTTATCAAGAGGAAGAGTTACTGGAAACGGCACATGGTAATTCATACAGGTTTGAAAAGTCATCAGTGCCCGCTCTGTCCATTTCGCTGTGCACGCAAGGACAATCTCAAATCACACATGAAGGTAAGGGACAATTGAATCATTTGAATCATCAATCAAAAAATGATAGTATATCAAAACTGTTTTGACTTTGCAAGAATAAAATCTCCCTAGTTGTTCTACTAGTGATGCCTTTATTTCAGTTAGAGACCATAAAAAGAGAAACAAATAACTTTTTTTCCTTTGCTTGCCTTTCCATTTTACGCAATGTGGAAACTTCCTTGGGTTATGTCAACTTGGTGCAGCAAAAGCTGTTTGTGACTGATTTAGTTCTGGGCTTGGAACTACCAGAAGCAGGACTGTTAGCTGAGGTGTGACACCGTGCAAGCACAGCAGTGCCACTTCTCAAGATGCCAGCTAGTATCTCTGCATGCCATTGCATCACACTAAGCGGGCATTTTCAACTCAGCCAGCACTAGCAGGGGATCTCTCCATGACTTTCTACAGACACGCCTGCAGTTTTAACTTTCTTCCTGCTGTAGTTTTTAACTGCAGGCACTCCAGCAATGAATCATACACACACACACACACAAAGACATTTTATACTGTAATGTTTTGTTTTGAAGGGTTTCCATTATATTTAAAGGGTGCTTTTAACAGCCTTAGTTTTAGGCTCAAACTGAAGATGTTGTTTTGAAGGAAGTAGTACCTGTGTTGATACAGACAGATATAAACATGTAAAGAAACTCTCTGCCCACTTAGCTGAAGTACTATGTGGTTGCAGTATACAAAGCACGTGGTCTTGCAAGCTGGTCATATAACAAGATTGATGAAGTAAAAATGGTACCTGTCCCATTAGCCCATAGATGAAGAAGCTGAACTGCAGAAAGTTTCCCCTGTTAATGCAGTTGAGTTTTATAATAGTGAAATGTTTTATTACAGGTAGTATTTTGTCTGGTTTAGACAAATGGGTGTAACAGAGTATCAGACTGGTGTGGAGTGGGACAGAAATGCCTGTTCAGCTTTTATATATGTTACTGCAGAATTTGAGATCTCTAAACAGGAGTCTTAACCTTGCTTCGGACAAGTAGCTATTCACTTCCATGCAAATGATTCAGACGATTCCACTGATCACAAAAGCAAATCTTGCTGTATTTCAGGTTTTTGCTAGGTCTGGAATCATCCCCCTGAAGTCTGAGGGCTTATCTCTTAACGCTCCTACCATGGATCAGTGCACTATTCCCAGGCATCCTTGGTGTATCATGCTAAATCCTTATTAGGTACAAGTAGGTTTGGTGTTTATGACTCTTTCTTTTAGGACTTGATGTTCCATGTTGACATATGTTTGCACATATGGCCAGCAGGAGTAGATGAGCAACTGGAATGGGAACATGGCATGATTCTATGATAAGAAAGGGGTTTTGGTTTTAGTTATTGACAAGCTGCAAAAGAAGCATGCATCACCTAAAAGCTTGCTATTGCCTGGCAAAGACCTGTTGTTGCCCCCTGTTTTGTCCCTGTCCCTATTATTCCCTGCAGAAATTCTTGTTCTCTGCTTTTTTCTTTTTTTTTTTTTTTTCCTTCTTTTTGGAATTATTATTTGCAAGTTGAGGGCCTGTTCCTTCCTTTTTAGCATGATGATCTCCATAGGTGGTCACAGGTTGAAGAAAATGAGGAACTTTTTCACTGTCTCTCTGTGCTGTCAAACTGATTGCTATCTGAAGCCCTTGTGCTCTTTTCTGCTCCCACCTAACTGAGCTGGTATCATCTTAAAACAGAGCCCTTGTACAAACACGTAACATGTAGCGTTAATTATTTGGTAATACAGTGATTATTACCAAGTAATGCTCAGTTAGACATAGAATCATAGAATCAAGTAGGTTGGAAAAGACCTTTAAGATCATCAAGTCCAACCGTTACCCCAGGACTACCATCACTGAGGTCAGAGTAGGGCCTAGAGTTGCTTGACACAATGTAAGAGATTAAAGCCTCCTTTAGCCTTACTATGGAGGTAAGATCTAAAGTCTGATGAGGAGTCAACGCAGACCCGTCATGCAGGTCATGATATGTGGTCTTCGCTGGTAAAACTGCTTCCTATTTAAGATGAAGGCAGTTATCTTAATAAACTAGACAGCTTCTATTTGCTCTTTTGTCCTTTTATAACCTCATGGATAGGGTGTAAAAAATCACAAGCACAAGAATCTGAAAGACATTATTTTACCTTTATTTCAGTGGGTTTTAATACTTTTTGTCAAGTAGGCCATTCATAAAAACATTCTCTATCACAAAATTGGAGCAGGTGAATGAGGTACAGGCATGTTAGTCATGTGTCCAACAGTGTCAGACATAATTTGAATTCACTTTGGTTAAAGTGTAAATTGATAACAAGATTAAAAATTAAAAAATAACCTTATTTCTTTTCTCATTATAAGAAGGTGCTGCTTTTAAATCTGTATGTAAATTGGCATGAGATTATGGTAACTGACATATATATACTCCAACAGTGTTCAGAATGGAATGAATACACATCAGACATGGTACAGCACAGCTGAGAACTACTTAGCATGATCTACTTACCATCATCTAGTTATGCCAGTCAGGTGTTTCAGTTCTTCTCACTGTCCTATGATCCTTTGGGAGCTACCTGGCTTTATCTCCTTCCTGGCAGGCAACCCATGAAGGTAGAGCTGCCTTTAGCTCTCTGCCCTTCTCTCCTTGCCCATGGGTCAACTACAGCTACAGCTGAAGACATGTTTTTCAAAAGCAAAAAGCCACTCAAAATTAGGGTGTTAGGGTGGTGTTTGTCATTCATTATAAGCCAATTTTTATTCTAGGATACTAGCACAAGCCAAGCTTTTTTCCTTTTGGCTGCTTTTTGGTTTTCAGGTTTTATGTTGTGTTGACAAGGATGACAGGCAAAACCCATTGAGGTGTTCTCTCCAGCTGCAGTCCTCAAAATCAAATAGGGTTGTCTTTGTTTCCTCCTAGGTGGCATAGCCAAGAGCTGAAACACCTCCTCTTTTTTCTAGGTTCTTGTAGGCATTTTCCATTGAAACTGGTTATTTAGAGATTTAATTTCCATGAGTGGTTTGTGCATGTCCATATGGTCCTTCCTTATTGTGTGTATCTTTAGGTTAATGAATAATAACTAAATAATATAAATACTGTGTAATTTTATAGTAATTATAACATATCAAATTGATTGACCCAGAATACAACATTGGCAACATTTTCGTTGTCTTGTTCCCTGCTAAAGAAAATCTTAATAGAGAGCTGTTTTGATTCCAGCCCTAAACTATACTCAGATCTACATGTGCTACCCACCATGTTGATGGAACATTCTTCTAGCAAGGGCACTTTACCAGGACCAGCTCACAACTGGAGGCGAAGAAAGGCAAGAAGGGAAGCACAAGGGAAGTTTCCACACAGACACACAATGAAAAGAGGAGGCTGAACTGTCTGTCTTTTAAGGCACACAGTTTTATCTGTAATTATTATGTTGCACTTAGATTCCACAGTGATAGGTACCTCAGAAAAATCCTAAAATAGACACAGTACGGTGGTTTTGATGACAAATTACAGAACATGCATAACTGTAAATTTTGGCCCTTCTTTCCAGGAATCTGGGGTAGCATCTCAGGACTTGATTGTGGTATCATAGTTTGTGGTATCATGGTTTCCAGAGATGCTGAGAACACTGAAAATGAAGGTGGACAAAAAGAATGGGTGACTGAGACAGGTATTTTGTTGAAGCAGGCAGAAAGGATTATGCTTGACTTCTCCTTTCTGTTTATCTGAACGTATATTCAGTTGGAATATAGTGTTTTCTCTTGAGAATCTTAATGTACTTTTGCAAAAAGGAACGGGAAGGGGCAGTGTAATTCAGCAAGATGCATTCAGGCTTTTCTGTTTTTCCTGGTAGGGAAGTAGGGGTTAAATTTAGAGCAATACCACAAGCATCAGTCAGACTTTGGCCAATTGGTGTCTTTGGATCATGCACAAATCCTCCTCAGCAATTGGTGGAAGAGGCTTGTGAGATCATGCAGATACGTTCCAAGAAAGCAATGGGATATTAGCCTGAGCACTTGGAAAGGGGAATTAGGAAGAGGAACATATGGCCAAAAATAATACCTATAAATGTTCCTTATGCTGCTATATAGACATTAGGCAGAAATGGGTTAGCCAGCTATTCTAGCAGTGGAGAAGTCTGGCATTGCGGACACATGCTGAAGCATGGTGGTATGGCAGAAAATGAGGAAAGGGAAGATTAAGCTTAACAGATAAGTTAGATAGTGGCCGGCAGGTCATGTGATGCTCAACCACGGAATCTTCCTGCTTCTGTTGCTTAAGAAGAGGGACCATGTAGTGTGATCTCAAATTAATGTTCCTGTGTGATATGAAGAGGGTTCTAATCAGCCTCTTGATTAGGGAGAGGCTATTTATTACATGATAGTGGGAATAAGGAAAGGCTCTGACGAATGTAGCTAGATCCTCACTACCCCTTAGTGATTTGCTTTTCCCTCTTTCTTTTCCACATAGGGTCACACAATTGATTAAGTATTCCTCATCCATTTTGATGAAGTACAGGACAGGTTATTTTAAAGTATCTTCACTAGATGAAGGAGGGAGAAGGAGGTTTACTGTATTTTATGGGAGGATTTTTGCATTGGTTTAGGTAAACTTAAAGAGCCCTGGGAGCCACCTGTGGTTCCATTACCTTCCATCCTCTGACAGGAGGTAATGCATCTTGTGCAACTTTTCAACAAGTGAAGTCTGTGCCATGAGCCTCAGACAGGTACCACAAATGATTTGATCTTGTCACTTTTTGCACATGAGACAAGGATAAGACAGGATATGCAATGATACCTTGAATCTTAAAGATAAAAGGAAAAAACCCAAATTTTTTTGTAAATGCCTAGTCCAGCCCTGCAGAGGCACTTCTCCCCCCCCCCCCCCCCTTTGCTTTCAAGCAAAGCAAAGAAATATTTTCAAAAAGAAAATAGTATATAAATAATGTATGTGTCCTGAGGGGGAGGATCTTATCAAAACTAGCACCATAGCGCTAAATTTTTGAAAGTGCAGTA